TTTTTTTTTTTCCATTTGTGTGCCTTCACACAGTTCTTTATACATTGTAGGTTTCTTGAAAGGAAACACTTGTTCTTACTTGCCGTGACATTCCTCCACCCACACCCCTACCCTCCCCACATGATTCATTTCAGCTGCAGGAGCTCAAAGTCATTTCTCGTGTTGTTCTTCACCTATAGATTGTGGTCAGTTGCCACAGCAACCATCGCGTGATTGAAAAATCGCTTTTCTACTTAACTTCTCTCTTTTGAATTTGGAATGAGGAACTGATGGGTCTAGAAGGATTGTTTGTCTTCTAATTAGACTGATGTTTGCTTCCTTGTGAAATTCACTTATTTTTAACTCATTTCTTATATTTGGAAACACGGTTTCTATTCCTTGGATATCCAAGTTATTGTTCATATCTGTTTTCTTCTGAATTCCAAACCAATGAGTTTGAAATCATTCTAAATGTTGCAGAATTTATTTTCAGGAATATTTTATTATGTTTAAAAATATTTCAGGTACATGTGCTGAACGGGCTAGAGATGGAGCTGTGTATAAGCAAAAGAGCAGTAATCAGATGCTACAGAAGTGAATGGACATTTATAGTTCAACAAAGCCCTAAAATTACCTGCACCATACGTATTACTTAGAGTATAAACTATTGCCGTCCTTTCTTCCCCTAAAGTATTTTAGGCCTAATAATAGCTTTGAAACAGCTATGACAAGTTCATTTCAGCACATTAGTAAGAAGTGTTGTTGACAAGTTCAGTAATACTAATTTACTTCCAGTTCTAAAAGTATGACTTTCCAGTTTCCAGTGATTATAGTCTGAATTAAATGAGAGAGCCATATCACGCTTTTAAAGCCTGGGCTGGCTCCAGGCACGACATAGATGCAGGCCTGTTGTACAGGATGAGGATAAAGTATTAGTTGAAATTAAAAACAAGGGCTTCAAACAAGTAGGCCTGGGTTCACATTCTAACTTTGACACTGCCTTAACGCTACGACATTAACAGTTACTTAGCTTTGCTGGGCCTTGTTTTCTCATCTATGAAGTGGAAGTAAGAACATTACAAACTATGCATGTTTAGAACAATAATTAGATGAGATAATAGAGTCCTCAAAGCCTTAAGGGCATGCCAGAGTATCATTTTAACAGCCCCAGCTCACTACTAACAAGAGGTGTCCATTCTTAGTTAAGAAACTGGAGGAAGCACTTTATTCAGCCATCTGAAAAACTAAGTTTCAGCTCTGTCCTGTGTTATCTGAAAAATGTCCTTGTCTGTCTCATTTTTTCCCCATCTATAAAACTAAAGCAGATTTATTCTGATCTGTCTGCTTCACAGATATTGAAGAATAGTTAAGCTAACTATTGAAAGGTAACACAAAAATCAAATAGATTTCTATAGCAACTATAAACTCAGTGTAAACTAAATCTGATATAAATTTGTTATAAGAGTACAGGCCTTTGCAATCTCATCTTTTGTAATAATCTAAAGGTATTGAAATCTTTTGCTGATATAACAAGTGTCTAGAAGCATTGCTTTTCCAAGCAGAAGAAATTGCATTGAGAAAATATCTTACCGGAGCTTATATTATCTTCCTCTTGATGAACTTTTCCGTGAAACAAAAGTTCAAGGCTGTTCTTGAAAAACACACTTCCTGGACAAAGAATTACAAAATGTACCTCTTAGTGTAACTGTCATATTTCACTGATATTAGCCAAAATGCTGAGAAGTGATTGCTGTTATGTTTCAAAACCTCCAGAACGCGCAGTCAGGAAACTTCAAATGTACAAAAATTAAATTTGTGACGAGGGAAACCTGAACTTACAAGTCAGCCATCGGCTCATAGAATTTTAAAGATTTACAGAGCTGTAGAGATGACCTAATTCCTTTTGTCATAGATAAATTATTGATGGTTAAAAGAAAAACAAAATAAAACGAAGAGTAAATATTCAACATTTATTTTTGTCACGTGATGTATTGATTTTTTTCTCTAAAGTAAAAATATAGAGTCTGAGACCCAATTAGTAAGACTGAGAGATCAAAAATGGGTTATGGTGATGTTGAATGAAATAGTTTAGTCTCAAAATTTAAAAAATCGAGAGTTACATGAAAATATTAATTAGCAGAAGTGATAAACTCTTAGCTATTGATAAGGCTCATAAAATGTCTTGCAGGTTTAGATTTTAGAGTCAGTAATAATTATAAACATGAGATGTAGTAGAAGAAAAACACAAAAACGTTTAGAAATGACTAATACAGCAATTCAATGGGATGATCAAGAATGCCAAAATCAGGCATCTAAATTAGTGACTGGTATATCAGAGAGAGTAAATGAATTTCTGAGTTAATATAATCAGTGGAGAAATGTGGAAAAAAGGAAAATAATTGTTTTCTAAATATCAGGGCTTGCAATTGTTCACGTTTCTTTAGTCGTTATTTCAAAACATTAACTTTGTTTCATTATCAATATGAATTATCAGAATTTGAATGCTGGATCTGAGACAGAAAGTCTGTGCTCCTGAAGTCATATCTTAATTAGCTCAGAATTTTAATTTCTTTCCTGGAGAACAAATAATGATATTTATTTCATTTATTCTTTGCAGAAATATTGTCAAATACTACCAAAATAGGTGTGTAAGCAGCCTAGATATTTAGATGTTCTGTGCAGAATTCTATGTGAGGGTGCATGTGTTTGGATATTTTGCATGTCTGTATCTAAAGAATAAGCATCTTCATATTTTTTTTTTTACTTTTTTTCTAGGGCTGTTCTAAAATACAGAATTTTAATAATGTAGTGCCTGAAGGTAGGAACTTGAGCTTTCTCATTGCCTTAATATCAAATAATGGAAATTACACGTGTGTTGTTACATATCCGGAAAATGGACGTACCTTCCATCTCACCAGGACTCTGACTGTGAAGGTGGTAGGTAAGCATGATTTGTGTTAAGTACACACAAGAGAAACATAAGACTCTTATTCTGGCTCTTAATAGTCTATTATACAAAAGTATGTAAACTCTATGAAGAAAAAGACTTGTGGTTTTTTGTTCATTGCCCTATCCCCAGAGCGCTAATCAATTCCATGTACTGGTAAGGATTCAATAACTATAGGCTGGCTGAATAAGTGTGTGAGTGAATGGATGAAGCCAGTTTGGGGAATAAAAATAGAACCAGACATATCTGTGTTCAAATTATATCCCTGTCATTTCTTAGCAATGTAACCTTGATGGAGGCCTCAGCATCCTTATCTCTACTCTGAGACTTCAGCTAGAAGTCCTTACCTATTTGTTAGGTAAAGTTCCCACCCCCAAGAGGTGTGTCACACACCATAACCACCCCCACCCTAAATTAACACTTAGGGTAATTGAGAATTTTAAAAATAATATTCATGCTGTACTAATGGAGTTCAGGCAAGCGACAGACTCAATGACAGGTAGTTAAAAATATTGTCAAAAAGTGTTTTACTTAGATTAAGTAAACTCTATTTTTCTGTGTACTGAAACTGCTATAGCTGTTGCTGAGGTATTTGCCAGCAGTGTTCAACCTTTGCTTTGAGCTGACAGAACAGGGCATGAGAAACGAGGAATGTGGAAAGGGCAATGACATGGCAGAGATGACGGACTCCTGGCAAACCCAGAAATCAATAGAACTGGTATCAGGATATGTGGCTACTGAGAGTAAGACCCAAATACCACTGTGTTCCTTTTGTTAAAAATGAAAGTGTATCTGAGTAATAATTTGTCATACCTGATCTTTTAATACATAGAAACGTTGAGGCCCACTGACGAGAAGTAACCTGTGCAGAGACACTCCTTGAATCAGTGGAAGAATTAATTCTAAATCCAAAAACTCTGTTCAGGGCTTTATCTACTACTCTGATGCCAGATTCAGTGAGAACTACAGAACAAAACAAAACAAACACACACAAAAAAGACTTGAACATAGTGCAAATAAATTCCAATCAATTTTGTAATAACTTCTTTTTTTTTTTAATTGTTGGAGAATCAGTGAGGGTACAAAGAAGCAGTTACACTGCTTGCATTTGTTAGGTAAAGTCCCTCTTATAATTGTGTCCTGCCCTCTAGAGGTGTGTCACACACCGTGACCCACCACCACCCTCCCTCCTTCCCTCTCTTCATTCCCGCATTGCCCACCCCCCATATACTAGCATCAATTGTCCTCATATCAGAATTGAGTACATTGGATCCTTGCTTCTCCATTCTTGTGATGCTTTACTAAGAAGAATGTTTCCACCTCCATCCAGTTAATACAAAAGATAGAAAGTCACCATTTTTTTTAGTGGCTGAATAGTATTTTATAGTGTACAGATACCGCAACTTGTTAATCCATTCCTGGAGTGGTAGGCATTTAGACTGTTTCCACGTTTTGGCAATTGTAAATTGAGCTGCAATAAACAGTCTAGTGCAATGTCCTTATGATAAAATGATTTTTTTTCTTCTGCATAGATGCGCAATAATGGATTTCAGGATCAAATGGGGGATCTAGTTTGAGTTCTTCCAGGGTTCTACATACTTCCTTCCAACAAGGTTGTATTAGTTTGCAGTCCCATGAGCAGAGTAAAAGTGTTCCCTTCCCTCCACATCCATGCCAGCATCTGCAGTTTTGAGACTTTGTAAGGTGGGCCATTCTCACTACAGTTATGTAGTATCTCAGGGTAGTTTTGATTTGCATTTCTCTGATGATCAGGAATAATGAGCATTTTTTCAAATGTTTGTTAGCCATTCATCTGTCTTCTTTAGAGAAGGTTCTATTCATCTTACTTGCCCATTGACATGAAGGATTGCTGGCTCTTTTTTGTTGCTTAATTTGAGTTCTCTGTAGATCCTATTTATCAAGCTTTTGTCCAATACATAATATACAAATATCTTTTGCCATTTTGATGGCTGTTTCTTTGCTTTGGTTGTTGTCTCCTTAATTATACAGAAGCTATTTAGTTTAATTAAGTCCCACTTATTTATTTTTGTTGTAGCAATTGCCAACAGTGTCTTCTTCATAAAGTCTTTCCACAGGCCAATACCTTCAAGTGTTTTCCCCACACTTTCTTTGAGGATTTTTATTGATTCATGCCTTAGATTTAGATCTTTGATCCATCTTGAATCAATTTTAGTGAGTGGAGAAAGGTGTGGGTTCAGTTTCAGTCTTTTACTTGTGTTTATGCAGTTCTTCCAGCACCATTTATTGAATAGGGATTCTTTCCCCCAGTGTAAGTTCTTGTTTGGTTTATCAAAGATCAGGTGGCTCATGGTTTTCTATTTGGTTCTAGATGTCTGTGTCTCTATTTCTGTGCCAATACCATACTGTTTTGGTCACTATGGCCTTGTAGTACAGCATAAAGTCTGGTAGGCTGATGCTTCTGGCTTTGTTTTTATTACTAAGAATTGCCTTAGCTATATGAGTTTTTTATGGTCCCATACAAAACAAAGAATTCTTTTTTCATAATCTTTGAAGTATGATGGTAGTATTCTAATGGGGATTGCACTGAATCTGTAGATTGCTTTGGGAAGTATAGATGTTTTAACAATGTTGATTCTTCCCAACCCTGAGCATGGTATGTTCTTCCATTTGTTAATATCTTCTACTATTTCTTTTCTTAGGGTTTCATAATTTTATTTATAGAGGTCCTTCACCTCTTTTGTTAGGTATATTCCTAGATATTTCATTTTCTTTGATGTTACTGTGAAGGGAATTGTGTCTTTGATTAGTTTCTCATTTGGGCTGTTATTGGAATATACAAAACCTACTGACTTTTTGTACATTGATTTTATATCCTGAGACATTACTGTACTTTTTGATCACTTCCAGGAGTCTTGTGGTTGAGTCTTTGGGGTTCTCTAAGTATAAGATCATATAATCAGCAAAGAGAGAGAGTTTAACTTTCTCTGCCCCCGTTTGGATGCCCTTTATTACCTTCTCTTGCCTAATTGTATTGGCTGTAACTTCCAACACTATGTTGAATAGTAGTGGTGATAGAGGACAACTTTGTCTGGTTCCAGTTCTAAGTGGAAAAGCTTTCAGTTTTATTCCCTATAATATTTGCTGTATATTTATCATAGAAGCATCAATCAGTTTAAGAAATTTGCCACTTATGCCTATATTCTTCAGAGTTCTAATTAGAAAAGGATGCTGAATTTTATCAAATGATTTTTCTGAATCTATTGAGAAGATCACGTGATCTTTGTTTTTGCTTCTGTTGATATGGTGAATAATGTTTATGGACTTGCGTATGTTAAACCAGCCTTGCATTCCTTGGATGAAACCTTCTTGATCATGATGTATGACTTTTTTAATGAGAAACCATAATCTATTGGGTAAGATCTTATTGAGAATTTTTACATCTATATTCATTTGTGAAATTGGTCTGAGGTTCTCATTTTTGGTTGAGTCTTTGCCTGGTTTTGGTATCAGGGTGATGTTTGCTTCACAGAGCATGTTGGTTTAAAAGTCCTTTCTTCTCAATATTTTGGAACAGTTTGGGTATAAGCTCTTCTTTGAAGGTTTTCTAGAATTCTGGTGTGAAGCCATTAGGACCCGGGCTCCTTTTTTGCTGGGAGATTTATTTTATTTTATTATTATATATTTTTTAATCTCAGTGCTTAAAATTGGTCTGTTCAAGAGATCTGTTTCTTCTTGATGATGTCTAGGGAGAGCGTGTGATTCCAAGTGTTGATCCATCTCCTCCACATTATCAAATTCCTGGGCATAGAGTTTCTTATAATATTCAGAGATAATCTCTTGTATCTCTGTGGCATCTATTGTTATTTCCCCTTTATCATTTCTGATTTAGGTTACTAGGGATTTTGCTTTTCTGCTCCTAGTTAGTCTGGCTAAAGGTTTATCTATTTTATTTATTTATTAAAAAAACCAACTTTTGTTAATTTTCTGAATGATTCTTTTCAGTTTCATTAATCTCTGATTTAATTTTGGTTATTTCTTTTCTTCTGCTGGGTTTAGGGTTAGATTGTTCTCTTTAGAATTCCATAAGTTAGTTTGTGAGTATGTTGATGCACTCACTTTTTTTTTTAAAGCATAGGCATCTAGTGCAATAAATTTTTCTCTCAGTACAGCGTCTGCTGTATCCCACAGGTTTTAGCAGCTGTGTCTTCATTGTTGTTATGTTTGTGGAATTTAACAGTTTCCTCTTTATCTCTTCCTGAACCCAACTATCATTCAGCATCAAGTTGTTTAATTTCCATGGCTTTGTGGGGGAATGAATTTTTTTTTGGAGTTGAGTTCCAACAAACTCAATTTATAGCCATGTGGTCTGAGAAGAGACAAGGCATAATTTCTATTCCTTTAATTTTGATGAGGTTTGATTTGTAAACTGGGATGATCTATTTTGGAGTATGTACCATGAACTGATGAGAAAAAAGTATATTCTTTTGCTTTGGGATGGTGTGCTGTGTATATGTTTATTAATCCCATTTGTTTCAGGGTCACATTTAAGTCCTTTGTATCCTTGTTTAGTTTCTGTTTAGAGGATCTGTCCAGTTCTGTCAGACTGGTGTTAAAGTCCCTGGCTATTATGGTGTTATGGGATATCATATTGCTCAGACCTCTCAAAGTCTGTTTCATAAATCTGGGAGCATTTAAGTTAGGTGCATAAATATTTAAAATTGAGATGTCTTCTTGTTGTATTGTTCCTTCAATGTGTATAAAGTTTTCAACTTTGTCTTTCTTTATTATAGTTGCCTTGGACCTGCTTGTATCTGAGAATAAAATTGTGACTCCCTCCTTTCTTCTCATTTCCATTTGCTTGAAATACTGTTTTCCATCCCTTAATCCTGAGTCTTAATTTGTCCTTCAGGGCTAGGTGTGTCTTGTGAAGATAGCATATAGATGGCTTAAGCTTTTTTTATCCAATCAGCCAGTCTGTACCTGTTCAGTGGGGAATTCAATCCATTGACATTTATCGAGAGTATCAAGAAGTATGGTAGAATTGTATTCATCTTGTTATGAGAAAGTCTGATGTGTAATTTTATCCTTTGTGCCATTGTGGAAGCTAAGTTTTGGCCTTTAGCTTCTAGGTATTTAGTTGGTGGTGGTCCATTATGGTGTTCAGTGTTGAGAATAGGTTTCAGTATTTCTTGTAGAGCTGGTCTTGTAGTGGCAAATTTCTTCAGTACTTGTATATCTGCAAAAGATGTGATTTCTCCGTCAATTTTGAAGCTTAGTTTAGCAGGATACAGAATTCTAGGATGAAAATTATTTTGTTTAGAGATGTTGAAGGTCAATGACCATACTCTTCTGTTTTAGTTGAAAAGTCTGCTGTCATCCTAATGGCTCTGCCTCTATAAGTCAGTTGTCACTTATTCCTAGCTACTTGCAAAATTTTCTCCTTTATCTTAACTTTGGACAGGTTCATTACAATGTGTCTTGGAGAAGGCTGTTAGAGTTGAGATGACCCAGAGTTCAAGATCCATCTGAAAGGAGTGTGTTGGGATCTTAGTAAAACTTGGGAAGTTTTCATGTATGATAGTCTCCAGTAGGGCTTCCATGCCTTTGGAATAATCTTATTCCCCTTTAGGTATTCCTATTTTTGATATGTTTGAATGCTTCATGGAGTCTCATAATTCTCTAAGCACCTGCTCTGCTTTCTGTCTCTTCTTTTCTGCCTCTGTAACTACCTGAGTTGACTGAAACACTTTATCCTCTAGCTCTGATGTTCTATTTTCTATTTTCTTCATGGCCTAATCTATTTTTTATACTTTCTACTGCATTTTTACATTCCCTGATTGTCTCCTTCATTTCCTTAAGCTCTGCCATATCCTTTCTATAGTCTACATATTTCTCATTTGACTTTTGGTTCTGTATTTCCATTTTCTGATCCTTTCCCTTTATTGTCTTAATCATCCTCATTTTAAGTTCCCTTTATGTAAAATCCATTAATTCTTTATAGGAAGTATCTACTTTAAAAGCTCACTAGTGGTCCCTTGGAGGAGTTGCTCTATTTTGGTTTTTCATGGGGCCTGAACTTTTCTATTGGTTCATCCTCTTGTGTGCTTTTTTCTTATTCACCTCCTTGCACTCCTTTTTCCTTCTCGCTTCCTCCTTTGCTTCATATTACCTTGTCTTATAGTTTAGATGATTGAAAGGCCTCTTGGTATGGGGCCAAAAGGAGGAGAAAGGTAAAGAGCAAGCAGGGAGACACAAGAGGAAAAGAAAGAAAGATGCATAAAGAAGGAAAGAGTAAAATAAAAGAAAAAAAATAGGAAGGGGAGTAACAGAAAACCTGAAGAATAGGAAGGAAGGAGGTCAAGAAGAGAGAGTGAAAGCAATGCAAGAAATGGTATTGATCAGCACAGTGCTGAGGCCACTCCTGTAATTCAAGGATTTTTGAGGGGCTGGGCTGGGTGGGTTCCTCAAAATCTTGCCCTCCTTACCAGTGTGAGTGAAGCCAGACTCTTTGTCTGCCAAAAATATGAAGACAAAGAAAAGAACAAAAACAAAAAAGAAGGAAAAATTAAGTAGGAATGAAGACAAAATAGGAAAATTCTGCAGTGTGATCATGCCAAAACTCTATTCCTAGAGCAAAAGATAGAAAGATCTCTTAGCCCTCTTGAGTCAGACCACTACTATGGTTTGCCTGCCAGACCACAGCTCTGTCACCCCAGCTTTCAGCAAAAAAAAAAAAAAAGAAAGAAAGAAAGAAAGAAAACAAACACAAAAAAAGAAAGAGTGAAGAAGTAATAACAAAATAAGAATAGATAAAGGAAATTAAAAGTACTGTTGTATCAAATAGAGGAGAGAGAGGTGAGTGGGATAAAGAAAAAAAAGAGAAAGACAAAAAAAGGGGGGAGATATCTTAGCTGTTGCAGAAGCAATTTGTGTGGGAGAGACGAGAAAGGAAGAAGAGTCTCTATCAAAGAGAGAATGTAGAGGAGTGTGATAGGGAGAGAGAAGAGATGAGGCTAAAGTACTGTAACCAAAAAATATAGGATCCCTTGCTATTGATGAAAGTAAAAATGGAAGTTATGAAAAGAAGCAAACAAACAAATTAGCAAAAACCAAAACACATTGATACAAAATAACAAAAAGCTGTAATAACCAATAATAAGCAACCTCAGCAATTAATAAATGAAGGAACAAAAGAAGAAAAAAGGAAAATATATATACTAACAACAAGAATAAGAAAAAGAAAAGAAAAAAGATTAAAAATAATTATATATACATATATAAAAGCATATTTTATATATACATATATATGTATATATAAAGGGGGTCCGACATTAGTAGCAATATACTTCTGTTGCAGTATATTGCCAGAATACCAGGTGGCACTATAGTTTTAGGAGATGGACAACACCATTAGTACTCTCTCTCTAGTTCCCAGGCATAGACCTGTTTCCCAACTTAACTGTCCACAGTGATGGCTTGATTATTTCCTTAGGATTCAGGCCACCAGGCTGGGATCTCAAAGCTCTCCAGAGCCCTTCAGAGCAGGTCTCACTGTGCCCCCAGACAGCAGTTCTCCTGGGGTGCAGGAATCCCTGAGCCTATCACGACAGATCCCAGCAGGCAGAACTCAGAAGGCTGGGTCCCTGTGGGAAGCCCACCCTCATGACCTTCTCAGGACGGTCCCACACAGGCTGCCCTTGGCTGCCAAGACCTGCCAAGCATGGCCCTCTGGGCTGCCACCAAAGTGGTGGCAAGTCTGCTCCACCCAGCTCTCACAACTGGCTGCTGTACCCTGCTGGTCGCTCACTCTTCCAGGCTTTCCCCTCAACCACAGCTTTCACTGAGACTGTCCAGTCCCCTGCAGAGGAGGCAGTGGCTCCCCTGGTAAAAACTTGCCTAGCAAGTCGGAACTCCTCGGCTTCCCTTTCTTACTGCATGCAGCCCCTGGTCACCTTGCTGTGCACCCAGAGCCACAGGTCCAGGCAAGGACTCCCGCCAGGCACAGCCCAGCTTTCTTCTGTTCCTCAGTAGTAGTAGGAGCTGTAGGCTGAACCCTCTTTCTGGTCCTCCATCTTGCTCCGTTCCCTTATCATCACTTCTTATTTTCTAAATAATGCCAAGTTGCAGATTAGTTTTGATTAAAAAACAACATATTTTATGCTAAGCATGCATAGGTATTAGAAGTCAAAAAGTAATCTAATCTATTTATGTTGGAAAATTGTTTCTAATATGTATCCCTAAATCCATCCATTTTTGCGAAGTTGGGAGCAAGTGTACTTGGTCAGAGATATATATAGAAAAGTTGACAGATGCATATGGGAGTTGGGAGGTTCTTTTCAACTTTCAAACAACACAAGTTTGCTTTTTAAAGCGGCAAAATATTGAGTATATGTCAGAGGTGGATGCTTTAAAGGGTATCCATACAGTTCATGTGCAATTTAAAATAGACAACTATTTATTCCTCATAATCAAACCATAATGTGAGTTTTAATTATCCTCATTTTAATAGTTTTTCAAAAATGAAGTAAGAACTCAGGTTCATATGGTTAATATATGCCAAAGTCAGGGTTGGAACCTAGTCATTAAATATTTGGAGCCTACACTCTTAAATGCCAGGTTAAAAAAGACCCTTTCAGGTATTTTTATTTTAATTTAAGAATACGGACTTTTATAAAGAGCACAAGTCTCCATAAATGAACATTCATCTGATAACTACACACCAGGTAGACTAATTAGGGCTTGCATTAAAATGGTAATTTTGAGTTTTCCACTTATCTATTCATTTATTTAATACTTTAGACTTTGGACATATTGAGGAGAAATACAGAGAGAAGGAGCATTTGATTAAGACAGGAAAATGACCAATCATTATGTAGCCTAAGAAGTTTATCTCACATAAGCTTTAGAAAGCAAGGGCATTAGTTATACAATCTTTCCTGACACACAGATGACACTCAATAGGTCTTATTTGCTTCTTTGTAAAGGAAAAACAGTATTTCTATGCTCTGTCACCAAATATGTAGCTTCCTTATACCAAGCAATTCTGCATTATTCTGAGGACACCAACTGTATGCTCTCCAGTTTAATTCAATTTGACACAAACTGCCCAGAGCCAGGGCAGTGCTTGGGCCCACAAGTTCATCCCACTCCCCGCTTCAGATGCCACGTGGGTCCCGAGGTTACCCACACTTCTGTCTGACTTGGCTATAGACTGAGGGTTCCCACCACTTCCTCCTCAGTTTCCATGATGTGCTGGAATGGCTCACAAAACTGAGGGAAACACTTGGCTTATACTTAGCAGTTTATTGTAAGGGATATGAAAAAGGGTGAAAGCGTCCCGAGTGCAGGAGTGTTTCATCCCTCTGCCGCTGAAGAGCCCCAGCTTCCCTGCATCTGGATGTCTTCCCTAACCCGGGAGCTCTCCTGAAGGTTCCGTTACAGGCGTGATGAGTAAATCATTGGCTATTACTGATCAATTCAATATTTGCCCTTTCTCCCCTCCCTGCAAGATTGGGGGGATGGCTGGAAGTCCCAGCCCTTGAATCTTGCTTGGTCTTTCTGGCCACCAGCCTTCATCCTGAAGCTATATGGGGACCTTACCACCAGTCATCTCATTAGCATATGAAAACACTCCACTCATTACTCCAGAGATTCTAAGGATTTTAAAAGCTCATATGCTGGGAATTTGGGACTAAGACCAAATACTATAACAAAAGATGTTCCTATTATCCATATCACTCAGGAAATTACAAAGGTTTTAGCAGCCTGTGTCAAAAACTGGGAGTAGAGGCCAAATTTATATTTCCTGTTATATCGTGCTTTTTTTGTTTTAAATGACAGAATGTATATTGAACTATGGGCCGTGTTATGAAGAATTGTCAAACTAGGGCAGGGAATTGTTCACAGAGGAGCAGATTGTGGAATAAGGCTGCCTAATTTAATAGTATCTTCTTTTTTCATTTCCTCTCTACCACAGGCTCTCCAAAACATGCAATGCCCCCCCAAATTCATTCACCCAATGATCATGTGGTCTATGAAAAAGAACCAGGTAATTACAGTTGAATCTCTGAATTTCATTTAGCTTCTCTTAATTACAAGGAAGAAAATATCAGTTAAGCTAGTGGAAAAGAATAGGAGACTATTGTAAAGAAACACATGGATTGAAACTGAAATATTTTCAGAAACCAAGACAACTTTGCCGGGTGTCGTGGCGGGCACCTGTAGTGTCAGCTACTCGGGGGCTGAGGCAAGAGAATCAATTAAGCTCAAGAGTTTGAGGCTGCTGTGAGCTGTGACACTACAGCATTCTACTGAGGGCGACATAGTGAGAGTCTGTCTCAAAAAGAAAAAAAAAAGAAACCAAGACAACGAACTCTAGGAATCAGCTACTACTTCATCAGTCTCGTGGGCAGCTCTGAAAATGTTTGCTCCCCTTGGTCCTCCCATCACAGTCTTCCTCGGTTGATTAGGTGTGCTTAGGTTGCAACGTAAGCATAAGCTTCTACTCCACTGTTAAAGGGCGAGCACTCGAGCTTGGAGGCAGGACTGAGTGCATAACAGATAGCACCTGATGGAACTGGTGTACCACTTGAATGTTGAATACGGCTCTCTGGGTCTCCTTTTAGATTTCATAATTTTTCATTTTTAGACAGAAGTCATTTGTAACTGATCAAGTAAGGGATACCTAGGGATAACTAGTTGTTCTGATTCAAGCTCCTACAGAAAACCATAGAACATTTTCACATTTTCCACATTATATCCTTTATAAGTCCATTCCAAACCCAATGAGATATGTCATCCTGAATAACAACAGAATGGTTCTCCATTAAAAAAAAAAATGTGTAATCAGTAATGAATAAAAGACTCAAATCTGGGAATACTAGTGCCATCATACCCCTAGTACTGCATTGGGGAACCATATATGTACTCGGGAAGCAAAGGAAGTTAGATTTTTTATAAAGGCAAAGTGAGGACTGTTTCATAAGTTGTTTTTGAATAATTAATAACAAGGGTAGTACCAATCCAATATTGAATGAGCAATTGCTGGGCAGACATCCTCACAGAAATACTCTTTGTGTGAGTTTACAATTGCCATTGTACAAGGTCATAGTTTCCAGAGAGGCCTTGTAGTGATTTTTGTAAGAGGTATTGTCCATGGGAACCCCCTTTGTACGGCCTCCTGACTGACCCTATTCTGTTAAGCTTTCGCACAAATGACTCCATTTTGATTCTGGTCACTTTCACAGAGGTATAAAGGTGCATTTGTTTAAAATGTGCTAAAGATAACAGGCAGTTATCAACATAGGTTCAGAACAACAATACTAAAAAAAAAAAAAGAAAAATTAAGGTAAGTTGGTAAATGTGATTTACCCAGAAATAGAAACAGTAAGAGATCTGGCAATCTCAAATGAGCTGAATTTCCTAGAATTAGATGGAGTTTTGTGTAATAATATGAACATTTGTCTTGCTGTTCTGGGTATACCTTTATTAGTCACCTAAATGTGTTTTGTCTATCGGTCATATTGTACGTACAAAGTCATTCTCAAATTTATGTTCTTTTATCTTTCTTAGCGACAGGAGGGGAGGACTTAAGAACCATGCATTGGAAGGAGGCTGGAGTATGAACAGTCAGTCAGATAAACCTAAATTCAAATTAGGGTGATGATATAATTTATCATCCAAACCCAAACCCTTTTTGAAAGTGGAAAGAGTCAATAGAAATGGGGAACCAGGATAAAGCAGTCATTTAACAGAACTCTGGGCAAACTGAAATGGAAGGTCAGTCTAGGTTACATCCTGGCTTGACCCTTTGTAACAATTTTACCAAGAAATGTCATTTAACATATGTAAGCTTCAGCTTTCACATTTATAAAATAGGAATTTAAAATACGTCTCCTAGTGTTTTCTTCAGATTAAGTAAGACCCCTGACAGGTGTAAATTTGCAGCACAAAAAGTTGTGCAAAGTTCTCGGTGATGTGTCACCACTGCATCCACTGCTGCTGTTATTATGCCCATTTTCTGCCTAAGGAAAAATCTCAGAAAAATAATATTGAATTTGGTATTGGGAAATTGTATTCAAATTTACTAACTGCACACTGCTAGCTTGAGCATTTTGAGACAGGAAGCCCTCAGCCAGATCTCTCAGTAGTGGTTTACCCCCTTTTCCCTGGGCTAGGAAACAAAGCTTTGGAGAACCTTTCTTGGTCACCCCGTGTTTGTGAGGGCGATGACAAAGCAAGAGAGGAGTATGGAGGTTTAGGGACAAAGGGATATTGTCAGAGCGTTTTCAGAAATACTGTCACTTTAAACATATTTAGATTGAACTAAAAATGGTCACTCTGGGAAATTTATATAAAGTTGATGCCCTTCCTCTCTTGGTTTTGTTTGTTTTAGGATGAAATAAGGCACATCGCCTTATGGTAGTGCACTAGAGAATTACTCCTAAGTAGGATTTTAGGAAACTGTAAATTTTATAGCTTCAATTTAGCCATAGAGTATAAACCAACATAGCCATGTGAGGGTTACAGCATAAATTAACTTTGCTTTTTCTTTTTTCTTTTTTTTTTTAGGTGAAGAGCTACTCATCCCCTGTAAAGTCTATTTTAGTTTCCTGAAGGACTCTCGCAATGAGGTTTGGTGGACCATTGATGGAAAAAAGCCAGATGACATCTCTGCTGATGTAACCATTAATGAAAGGTATCATGGGGCAGGCAAGGGGGGTGACTAACCTTTGATTTTCAGTCTAATGAACTCTGAGGTGTAATACTCAATGGGACTAAATATCCTCATTTTGGCTTATCATTAACAAAAATTAACAAGATGGGCAAATTTTTGGTAACTGCATCCCCAAATCGTGTGAACTCTACTGTTACTGAACTCACAGTCTAAAGAGCAGAGGCCCCAGTCAAGAGTTAAGTTAGAATGTCCTGGGGCTGGACACCTTCCTTCACCACAGTCTGTCCGTAGGGCATGTGTCCTATTTTCTTATGCCCAGCAAGATTCACACATTTATAATGCCCATGTGGAAGTAAAAGAAATAAATGTCTTCCCTGAATGAAAAGGCCACAGTGTAAGGTGTTGGATACACACCGTGAGCCTGGAGCACAGCAGTGTTCCTCTATTTCTCAGTCCTGTGTATTTGTGCTCCAAATAATTATATTTACTTTCCTGTATTGTAGTGAGCGTGTAATTTCTGTCTTCTTTCTCCTCTTTCTTCATTTATATAATCTAGATGTTACATTTATAATTCATGACTTTTTAAGTATTGGTTAAATATGCATATTTATGTTTAAATTTTAAAGAATGGACAGAAATATAGTTCACTCTTAATATAACAACCCAAGTCCTATTATTCCTAACTAATCTGTTTTTTTTAAGGAGATTAGCGGAAAGGAAAGTGTGGGGCTTTGAAGACAGAAGCTTCCTCTGTAAATGAAGCTTACCATTACCAAAGAGCAATCTTGGTTTGCTGTAACAATTAATAAAAATTCACAGGTGATCAACTATGTGAGGAAGTAGTCCCAAGACCTTAAGCTTTATCACCTATGTGCAAATGAAACTTAAGCTACTTGAATTTCTAGAATTCAAAACATACATATGTCCTGTTAGTAAGCTCAGACTTTGTGCAGAAATTACAAAATTTCTACTTTGCTTAAGTTACTTAAGTCTCTAACAGGTGCATTTTATAGGAGTAACAGTGATAGAGCAGACATTTCAATACAATGAGAGCAATATGATTGGGAAGTATTGGCTGTTAGGAGAGGATTTAATAGAGGATTTAGACAGTTTTAGGGGATTAAGTAGTGCTTCTCTGATGAAAAAAGTAATTTCTATATAAAGATTTGAAGAACAGAAATTAGCTAGATAAGCAAATGGAAAGAATGTTCCTGGCAAAAGGGGTATCATATACAAAGGTCTGGAGGTCAATGAAGTGGACAGTATTTAAAGGCGCAAAGGGGGCTTCCTGAAATTGGAATGCTTTTGCAGAAAAAAATTGACGAAAGATGCACGGAGGCTCAGAGGGAAAGTTATTATTTTAGGAATTCTGGACATCACGCTTCCCATCCTCACAATGATAATAAATGAACAAGTAGGAAAGTCACCTTGTTCCTCCTTGCTGCTAATAAAACACATCCTGGGTGATCCCAGGTGAGCAGTGGAGTGAAGCTTTGGCTGCACCAATCCGAGCTCTTAACCAAACTCTCATGACTGATGCTAAGCTAATCAAAAGGAGAACCTGGCTGGCAGGCAGCTGGAGGAGTGATAGTTTTTCTGCTTTTAGCCAAATAGTTCAGAAGGATTTAAAATCATGATCTTGGACCCAAAATACTCACTGAGATTTGAATATATTTAGTTCCACAAATTTACTTGTTCTGAGCAGTTTCCTCTTTAGGAAACTGTTAGGATTTAACCATGAGATTTCAGAATTTTGAGCAAAATATTCTACCTGTGTTTACAATCCAAGTTTTGAGAAGCACTGAAATGCATCAGCTATTCCCATGGGATGATCATAATGGCCTACATTAATATTTCTTAAGCATTGTTCTAATATTTATGCACTAACACATTCAATTCTCAGAGTCCTCGAGTAAGTTAATCCACCTAATGCGCTATGGGGCATTACTACCTCCTTTCTCACAAAAGAGGAACCCAAGACATAGAAAAATTAATTACCACACCCAACAGATATAGTCAGTACATGGCAAAAACCTGCTCCAAAACCCAAATGGGCCTGGCTCCAGAAGCTTCTCTGTAAACCCTTACAGCATCTGTCTCAGAAGTTTGAGAGAGCTATAGTAAGAAGTCAGCCTTAGGATTTGATCTAGACCAGGGCCCCAACCTTCCTAATGCCGCGATGTATTTTCATTGTACAAAGGGGTCGCGACCCACAGGTTGAGAACCGCTGATCTGTACGCTGGGGTAGTGGGTGGTACAGGTGTTCACGGGTAGTATTGGAATCTGCTGTCCCCCTCCATAACCACTGCGTTCCACGCAGCACAGCTACCAGTGTTCCCTCTGCCCTCACCCAGAGTGGTTCTGGTTACCTCTTACCTGATTTATGCTTGAGTCTCACAAATGCTTTGCTTTTCCCCCTCCAATTTCTAGCATAAGTCTCACTAGAACAGAAGATGAAATGAGAACCCAGATTTTGAGCATCAAGAAAGTTACCCCAGAGGATCTCAAGCGCATCTATGTCTGTCATGCTAGAAATGCCAAAGGCGAAGTTGAAAAAGCTGCCAAGGTGAAGCAGAAAGGTAATGGGTGCCCAAGGCGGCTGAGCTTGTGAGGTCCAAATGTAATATCATGGTGAATAAGGACACTAGGAGACATTGAGAATGAGAGAGCTCCAGCACCTGGACAACATCCGCCACATAGGGATGAACCAAAGTTGAATGGGAAGGCTTGAGAGAAAGTTTCCATCCATGTAAAGATACTCAAAATATTGTTTCAGATAGCATTAATCCTGCCTTAGTGCCCAAAGGTGGCTAAAAAAATTCAATATGATTATAGTAATGAGGACAATTTTATATCAATATAATCATTAAAAATGAAAAGTAAATATTAAAATTCCAACTACCAAGGACATAATAAACCTGATAGAGCCACATATTAGCAAATTATAAAGACGCTTTTAGAAATGACTGATGGCAGACTTCAAGAGTCTTTAAAATGATTATACTATTTGACCTAATAATTTTGGAATTTTTCCTGAAAAATAACTTCACAGAAAGAGAATAACTTATCCAAAGAGTATTATTTGTAATGAGGCATTATAACTACCAGCTAATAGCTGTAGTTAAATAAGGTGTAAAATGCTTATTCTCAGAAAAAATGTATAATTCTAATATATAATTTTGAACTCTATATCAATATTCACGCAGGTTTATAATATACCCCAGCCATCACTGCTAAGATAAACAGTCTTCAAACTATGGTTTAAAATAATGTGAAATGATTTCTATGTTTACTATTTTTCTACAATAAATACAAATATTAAACCTTCTCGTGTGAGTTGCTGCTCCTAAAATAGACTGGGTCTCAAATCTTCTTGGGGTCACTCACCTAATACAGAATCCCAGACAATCCTTTCAAGAACATCTTCAGTGGTCTGCAGAAGGGTAATCATAGTTTACCCCCCTCATTCAATCAGATCACTCAGAATCCTCATGGCTCCTAGTGTCAGAGACTATAATGTTGGTGTCAACATTGAAGAAAAATCTCACTTGAGTGTTTCATTACAATTTAGAAACTAAAAAGAAAAGATCTTAAATGTATACACCTCTTGCGAACTCAGAGGATGGATAGCCGCCGAGCGCACCCATCCACTGAGTTGGCAGGATAGTTTGTTGCTTTTTTCTTTGCTCCCCTGAAGTTGATGTAAAGAGAGAAGACTGAAGTCTGTGATTTCCCTCCTGAGACCACCGCTAAGAATCATTATTGTGCTACAGCGTATTTTTTGTACTCTAGAATCAGCCTGCCTATGTTGAAATCCTGGTTTCTGCACATAACCCTGTGACTTTGGAGGAGTTTTTTTATATTAAATAATGTCCTATAAAATAAAAGAATGTAATATAAAAGAAAACAAAATATAAAAATAAAATAAAATATATAATAATAATATAAAATAATACCACTATCTCATAATATTTGACAGTGCTTGGCACACACACACATATTCAAAGATAAATAAATCTTATTTTCGTAGATGTTATTTGACAAAGTATTTTATTGTGAAATAAGTCTTATTGAAATCTAGATTATACAAAGTCAATCATGTTACTTTGGTTCAGGACGCCTTAGATTTTAAATACATACATTAGCATTTGGTATGAATATCTGCAGGGGGGTAGGTTATAGGGGCGTGATACTGTCAAATATATTTGATTCCAGATTCGTTAAGTATGGAGCATTTTGTGGGACTGGTTTTCTGAGCTGTATTCTGAGAAACAATTATGGAGGATGGCATAAATGAATAACTTATTGTCAAATGGGTAGAATCAAAGCAATTAAATATATTAAAATAACATTGCATGTAGGCATGTAGGACTAGTCTGCCCAGCAGAGCTACTTGAGTAGCTAGCCTTTCCTAGCAGCCCCTGATCTAAACGGTGTGGTCTGGATAGCATCAGGAAAGTAAACTGACAGCTGACAAGTGAGGTGCTGAGAGGTGACAGATAACCACATTCCCAGCCCTGCGCATGTCCAGTGGTACTAAAGGAGTATTGGCTGTGTTTATTTATCTTCTATTCTGGGCCAGCTAATGCTGAAATTCAGAAGTTGTATCCGAGTTGACATTCCTCTATTTTCTGTATAGGTCCTTTCCTAAATTCATTAACAAAGCTTTCTGTGTATTTCATCCAAAATATGTCCAAAGCAAGGGTAATGCCTGAAATGAGAGAAAAGGGATAGGTCTGATTCATAGCACAATTTCATGTAGTCAGTTAAAGCAAGATACGAAAAGAAGAGGCAGCTAAAATAAATATGTCAACATGCAGTTGTTTTATAATAGGAGAGTGGCAAGGACTGAAGCAGGGTATTTATTTGACATTATGAGAAACTGCCAAACCTATTTCCAAAAGGTTGTGCCATATTACACTTCCACTGGAAATGCATATGAATCCCAGCTCCTCTTCTTCCTCCCTAAGTTTTGGAGTTGTCAGATTTTTAAATTTTACCCATACCAGTCGATAACACATTTTTTTATTTACATTTCTTGGATACTATTCATATTGAGCACTTTTTCATGGGTTTATCAATCATTAACAGTTCTTTTGAAAGGCTGAGACAAGTGGCTCACTCACACCTGTAATCCTAGCACTCTGGGAGGCTGAGGCATGTGGATTATTTGAGCTCAAGACTTCCAGACCAGCCTGAGCAAGAGGGAGACCCTTGTCTCTAAAAATAGCCAACCACTGTAGCGGGTGCCTATAATCCCAGCTACTCAGGAGGGTGTGGCAAGAGAATCACTTCAGCCCAAGAGTTTGAGGTTGCTGTGAGCTATGATACCACAGGACTCTACTGAGGGTGACAAAGTGAGACTCTGTTTCAAAAAAAAAAAAAATAGTACCTTCTGTGAAGTATCCATTAAAATCTTGAGCACATTTTGTTATTAGGCCAGGTTTATTTTAACTTAATGTATTTTAGGATAAATATCCATATGTACACATGTGTGTATATATATATAATTTTGAGTAAAAGTGCTTTCCCAGATATATAATTTGTAAATATTTTTAACATAGTTTTTAAATTCTTTTTTTGAGCAGAATTTTTTAAATTTTGGTGAAATTTGTTTTATCATGTTCTTCTTTATGGTTATAGCTTGTTTGTTTACCTGTTACAATCTCTGTCTATCGTAAGGTTAGAACAGTATCCTCCTGTGTTTTCTTCTGGAAGATACATAGATTTCTCTTTTAAAATTAAGCCTATGTATAATCCATTTTCAATTTCTGTTGTATAGTATGAGATGTGGGCTAAGATGTAATGTATTGCTTTGTTTTATTTTTCCATATAAATAACCGGTTATTCCAACATCATATTAAAAATTCTATTTGTTCAATTGTTTTGAAAACTTTCAAAATCTCAATTAATTCTTTGAATGTAAGTCTATTTCTGCTTTTCCTGTTCTGTTCTGTTAATCTGTTTATCTTTAGTCCAATACCACCTTATCTTGATTAAAATAGTTTTAGAGTAAGTCATCAAATCAGATACCAATTGTCTTCCCCCTTTTTTGGAAACTGTGTTATTCAGTACCTATACACACTTAGTTGATAGGTCTTTTTCATTAATTCTTTTAAATTATGGAATATCTGTGGTTTTTTCCTGTTAATATTCTGTGTGTGATAGTAATCTAGCCAGTCCATCTTTCATATAATTAATATTTATATGGTGCATCTTTTTTCCATTTTTAAATTTAATGCATCAATGTCCTTATATTTGATATATATCTCTTATTTACAGTACATCATTAAGTCTTGTATCTTTTCATCCAATCTATTCATTTCTGCTTTTTAATTTGAATGCTTAATCCATTTTTAATGTAATTATTGATGTTACTGCCTTTAAGTCTAGTATCTTGTTATTTTTTTTTTACCGGTTTTATCTATTCTTTATTTTTATCTCCTTTAGATTAATTGAAACTTTCATTGTATTTTATTACTTTTTCTGGCCTTTTGGTTCTACCTTTTGTTTTGGATATTGTTTTTCGGTTTTTTTTTTTTTGACTAGAATTTGCAATATTTTTCTGAAATTTGCTAGTGTGTTCTGAATTAATCTCTTTACTAGCACCAGAAATGTTACATTTTAGTGTTACACATATATAAAGTGAATGGTATAAAGTAGAAATTGAAGTTTAGTTTTCTTTTTAGGTGATAACCAGACATTCCAGCTCAAAATATTCTAATTTATTAGAAATATCTTCCTTTCCTTCACTATATTCACTGGTGCCCTAGTCAATATTTTTACTGGTTATATTGAAAGTTTATCTTTTCCTTTTTTCTTTCTTCCCTTTAAAGATGTCATTGCCATTTTTCCAACTAATATGCTTTTTAGTTTTGCTTTAAGTAATTATTTTCTAAATAAATTAAGAAGTGAAATAATATTTTTATTTATTTGCACATTTTCCACGTCTGGCACTATCCATTCTTCATGACATTTTAGTCTGAAAAACTGTTTTAACATTTCTGGTGCTGTACATGGTTCTGATGTCAAATTCTCCCAGGTTTATTTTAATCTAAAATGTCTTATGTCATTTTACTTTCTACATTTTAAAAACTTTTAAGAAAGTTTTCAAGTACATGTACAATTTTAGAGAATTATCCAGTGAGCAATCATATACTCCAGATACATTCTACTGTTAACATTTTGCTACCTTTGGTTTATCATATATTTATTCATTCCTCTACCTATCCATCCATCAATCTATCTTGTTTTATTTATTTATTTATTTATTTACTGCTGGTTTTTGCCGGGGCTGGGTTTGAACCCACCACCTCCATCATATGGGACCAGTGCCCTACCCTTTTGAGCCACAGGCACTGCCCTATCTATCTTTTTTTTGATACCTTTTCAAAGCAGTTTCAGACATCAGTAAACATTTAAATATCTTATCAAGACTTTAAAGTTATTTATAATTCTCTTGGGTTTTTTTTTAGCCAAAACTTGAATAGAGTAACAAATTGCATAACTAAAGTGTACCGTGTGATCCTTTTTGAGACATGCATATACATGCATAGCCTATCAAGATAGAAAATATTAC